AATAGAAAGTGCCAGATCTGGAAATACAAACCCTAACTACAAAGTCACTTTTCATAAAAATGGAACGGCTAGTATCTCAAAAAAGAAACAGACTCTCACAAATAAAATATTGAAGTCTGAAGGAGCTTTCGAGACAACAGATGGAAAAGTTTACTTCACTGACCAACAGTTCATTATAGAACATCTCATTGACTTAGAGTCGAAATATTCTAAACTTTACAACAAACACAAAAAGTTGAAAGGAAAACAAAAACAAATGGCATATGATATTTATGAAGATGTTGACGACACAACTGTTCCTGCAAGTGAAGTAAAGTCAGAGGAACTGAAAAGTGACGAAAAACCGATAGAAGAAGAAAAACCAAAAACTGAAGATAAACCAAAACCAAAGTTTAGTTTCCAAACTAAACCAAGTCAACCTTCATTAGCTGGTATGGGTTGGCGTCAAAGACTTATGGCAGCAGGCGGTTATGTAAAGTAAAGAAAAAAATATTTTTTTATTTTTATAAAAATGCCCCCATATAGAATGGATAGAAAGTCTGCTAGAATAAAAGCAGAGTTACAAAGATATGGTTGGAGAGTTTCGAAGAATTTTAAATATAGGAAGGGAAGACCCATAAAAGTCTATGACAAATTGTCTGGTCTTCGCTACGAAATGGATTTGGAAACAGCACGTGCCAATTATCCAAACAGACTAGAGAGGTTAGAAGAAGAACGTCTTATGGACATGCCTTTCGATGTTAGTGAACCTCAAGTTGAAGGACACGACGGCTTTGCCAGATTCTACTGGAAACATGACGAACAATTGCATCCCTTGAGAAGGAAAAAAGGAAAAGGTGAAGACGCACATGCTCCCATGGAAAGAACAAGATATGCATATGAAAAGTATCGTGATGTTAGAAGTCAAATTACATCTGGTCGAACCTTTACAGTAAACTTTGACGAAGGAAAGAACAAAGAAGGCTTCATGGGAGTACTTGCTGCAATTCAAGACGGAAATAAAAAGGACACAATCTCAGATTGACCATAACAGATTTGGATGGTCACATTTACTATGCACATGGCAATGAACAAACAGCCGCAAAACTTCTTGACGCTTTCAAGACTACAAAGAGAGAACAAATGGTTGACTCCGACTCAGACATTTTGAATGCAATTGAAGGAATTGCAAGTGTCAAGTTCGAATGGTACCAACCTAACCCTCAAGCAGCAGTCAGACAACATGCTGGATACTTCCCGTTCAGAAATAAGTCTGACATTGACTTGACAAGGTATGGAATTTACAATTCAATTGAAACAATTGTCAATGAACCTTGTATTCTTACATGTCTCAGGAACTCTGGTCTTGTTACAGATGAGAAGATGAAGTATCTTGAGTCATGTGTGAAGACAAGGTACATTCTCAGAGGTCAATTGGCAAAAATTGCACCGTTGGCAAATGTCAATATCCGAGTCAACATACCTACAGCTAAAGGTTCTTCACATGACGACTATGTTGTTGACAAAGACTTACCATGGTTGAAGATTGTAATTGTCCACAACCACTTCATGTTGAACGAAAGTCTTACAAACCCATTCTTTGGTAAAAGTAAGTGCAACATTGTCAGAGCTGTAAACATTCTTTTCGAGAAAGGTTTGTTGGAACCAATTCCAGATGACAAGCTGACAGAAACTTTTGTACCAAAAGACGAAACAAACTTTTCATTGTTAGCAAGACCAAAAGTTGTTCCAGACAAAGTTCTAGTACAAAAGAAGTACACAGTTCCACAAGGGGTTGGTATGTTCGGATACCAACCTGAACCAGAAGAACTTCCAATGAGGTTGCAAGAACTTCAAGATGCTATAAACAAACTTCCATTGAGACATCCAATTGACGTCAAATTGTATTGGAGAGCTTCTGAGTTAGGTCAGAAGGTTTTATATGAAACAGGTTGCTTCGACGATGTTTATGAGATAACAGGAGAAGTTTCTCAGAAGATAAGAGACTCACTTGAATTTCCACAAACTGGACCAATTGGTTGCGACAAGTTCGACTCAAACGAAAAGATATACTATGTCGACCTTAACGCTGCGTACATGAGGTTTGTCCAATATATTCCGACTGGAATTCCAAACGAAGATGGTGAGTTCCCGGGAAGGAACTATACAGTTGGAAAAGTCATACAACAACTGTATGATATTAGGAAAGCTTCAAACCCCAAACTTGCAATGACACTCAAATTGCTTATGAATTCGACATGGGGATATTCCATTAAGAAACCTCAAGAGATGAAGAGTAAACATTATGAGAAGGTCGACAACTTTGTTGAAAGGTTTTCTCCTTTTGTTTTGAAGTACGAATTCACTCAAGGTCAAAGTGGCTTAGTAACCACATTAAAACCTATTGTCGAACATTGGTCTTACCCTCAGTTCGCAAAGGCAGTCCTTGACAACTACAATGAGTTCTTCTCGGAAGTCAAATCGAAAGTGAAGGTTTACTATGAGAACATTGACGCACTCATGACGAACGAAGAAGGATACAACAAACTCATTGAAATGGGAATGGTCGGTGAAAAGATGGGCTGTTTTAAGCTAGATAAGGTATTTTCCGAAGTTCATGTAATATCGAAAAGGAAATATTGGGGCATACTTGAAGACGGCACAGAAATAAAACATTGCATGAAATAAAAAAATTTATTTTTAAAAAAGTGACATTTTTTTTATTTTATTTGAAATGTACGCTGAGTTTGTTGGAGAAGACCGTTGGGAAACTTGTTTGTTAGATGAGAAATATGAAATTCACTGTTGTGAGTCATTTGAAGTCAGAAACAAAAAGACAAAAAGAGTTTTAAGCGAATGGGAGCGAAATGACGGATATGCTATTATGAAGATGGGTAGAAAACACTATCTTAAACATGTTGTCATTGCAACTCATTTTATACTGAATCCTAACAATTTACCTTTTGTAGACCATATAAACCATATAAGAAACGACAATAGACTTGAAAACTTACGTTGGGTCACTCGTTCTGAAAACAATAAGAACAAAGGCAAATTTGGAGATATTGTATTCGAATTTGTCGACGAACTAGAAGATGAAACAATTGAAATTACAGACTATGGCAAGCATACGTTTGAGTTTTACTACTATAGCGAAGAACAAAACTCTTTCTACTTTTATACCGGCGTAAACTATAGGAAATTACAAGTATATTTTACTAAGGCGGGCTATGCTTATGTAAACACTAGAGATACAGATGGAAAATACGTTCAAATACTTCTTAACAAATTCAAGAAGCTATATGGCATACCATTTTAAAACAATATATTTTTACATATATTAAATGCTTCAGGTTGAAAAACAAAGAACAAAAGTAGCAGATACAAAACCGTTAGACTATATCTTTACAAATGCTGGTAGGACTATTTCAGATGAAGAAATTTCATCCCGAGCATACAGGTTTGACTATCCAATTCGTTGGCTTCAAAGTCCTTCAGATGCAAAGGCAATAGGATTTAGAAGAGTTTTGTTTTCAAATAGAACTAACGCATTTATGTTCGCAGTATATTTTCATGGGCAGTATGAAGGTCCTGATGGTCTAATAGACAAATTTGACGAAATGAGGATCTTTACAGTTCGTTCAGACGAAAGTCTTGAGAAAACTCTAAATGACTTTCAAACTCAAATGAACAAATATTATTGGGAATTTCAAGAAAAATACGACTCTTTACTAAATGGAACATACTATCTGAAACTAGAATATGACAAGATGAACTCCACCGTTTCATTTCAAAAGATTGAAATTAACCCTCCAAGAGATACAGAGTTTTTATTTTGGGAAGTAGACAAACGTTCTTGGACACAATTTCTTCGGTTACTAAACCAGAACGAACCATTACCACCAGATGGTCCATTTAAATTTATACTTCCACCAGCAGATTTGATGGTTTATAGAAACGTGTTTGACCCTCAAAATGTTATGTGTCATGCAAGTTTCAGTTCAAGCAGCAATAGTTTTCTATGTATTGGTAAGGACCTTTATGACTTTGCTTCTAAATTCTACGAACCACCTAGTAACAGTTTCTCTGACTTTCAAGTTTGGTTCACAACAAATGGTGTGCAACATATTATTCCATTGTACTATGACTTTTATCTCGAATTGTCTTTCATATATAACTACGGAAAAGTGCTGAAAAAGTATTGAATGTGAAGATATTAGAAAATAACATTTTTTCTAACATCGTAGAAAACTCATGAAAACAATTTATTTTTGACACTTTCACAAAAAACATAAAAAAAGTGAGTTAAAATGAGATGTTTACTGAACTGGTTGGATGTCGCCTTCACAGGTTATGTAGAACGGCTGACCAGAGAAGTGAAGGAGACCCTTGAGAATTTGGTTCATTCTTGGGAAAGGGTTCTCTCTGTTTGGAAGTAGTATCCAAGGACGCTTGGCAAAGAACTTTATAATGGCTTCCTTCTTTGCTTGCTTTATGTCGTCGAAAGGAGTGCATTCTGGTACCTCAATTGGAATTCCAGTCGAAGTCTCGAGATTCAAGGCAGCCCTTCCCGTTATCCAACCGTTAACAAGCTTGCCTTTTACATTCTGCCTGAGGAAGTCTTTAACAAGCTCGTTAATTTCAATTAGGTAAATTGCCTCGTCGGTAGGTTCGACCTCGACCATTGCTACTGTCAGAAAAAGTACTGCTACTGTCAGAAAAAGTACTGCTACTGTCAGAAAAAGTACTGCTACTGTCAGTAAAAGTACTGCTACTGTCAGTAAAAGTACTGCTACTGTCAGTAAAAGTACTGCTACTGTCAGTAAAAAGGAAAATTTGAGAGGGTTTTCGACGATAAAGTACTGCTACTGTCAGTAAAAGGACTGCTAATGTCAGAAAATGTACTGCTACTGTCAGAAAAAGTACTGCTACTGTCAGTAAAAGTACTGCTACTGTCAGTAAAAGTACTGCTAGTAGCAGAGATTTTTATCGTTGTGGTCCGACGGTTAAGCCACAAACGGATGACTGACGTCCCACCAACCGAGTCCATTCCCAAACCAGAGGAACCTAAAAAACCACAACAGTCTCCTCAGCAACCTCAGTTCCAGCAAGTACCTCCGAATTACTACCAATTTCCACCTCAAGGTTACTACCCACCACAAGGCTTCCCGAACTACCCTCCTCAGCCTATGCCTTACTTCCCCAACCCTTGGTTGTTCCAGCAAGCTCCACCCCAGCAGGAAATTCTTGAGTTTTGGTTGAAAGAATACGGTGGAGCCAAAAGTGGCTCGACCTCAAAACAAGCATTTTATGAGCTTACTAAGGGCGTTATAAATGAATTCAAAGGTATTTACATACATCCTGACCTCGTTCATTTTGTTGCTGAATTCAGCAAAAATAATGTTTAGGGTAGATTGTTAGATCTAACCTCATTTCTACCCTCATTTCTACCCTCTTGAATTTTCATGAATTTCCTTAAGATAGAAAAAATAAAGTTAGTTTTATTTTTATTTATTTTTTTATTTTGTATAAAAGAACAGAAATGTCAACAATCGGCACAACAACAATTCAAACAACAGCACCAAACTCGTTAGTCATGAATCCAACATCTATGTTAGTAGAAATGAAAAGCTTCATTCCTTCTTCATTTACTTTCGAAACAGAAATACAAAGAATAAAGCAGGAACTTTTAACAAGTAATTTAGACTGTAGTGCGAAAGATGAAACAAATGAACAGTATCTTTATGAAATGGAGGACCTCATCGACCATTTGCCTAAACTACCTGAAATTCAGCAGCAAAAACTAACTATTCCTGAATTCGCCGAAATTGAAGTCAAAGCAACTGACTCAGTAGAAATAAAGAAGTTCATACGAAAGGTAAATTATGAGTTTCTAGGATATCATTGCAACCATAAAGTTATGGACAAAGATTGCGACATGGTATATAAGAACATCTCTGATATATGTAAATCGGGGGGTTTAAGACATACGACAACTTTGTTTCATTAGCTGCAAAATGTGTATGGCAGATAAGAGATAAAGATAGAAGAGGTAAGGTATGGAATGAACAGATAAAACCAACTGCTTCAGATTTAAAGAAAACCATTGACGCCTTAGTTGTTTTAGCAGGTAAGGTTTCAGAATATAACGCAAAAATGAATCCGCAATGTTCTAAATGTAAAGCAGCAATTAGGAAATATAACTATTCAGTAAAAGAGATAGAAAGAAGGAGAAACGACTGTGCAGATTTAAAGAGGGAGGCAGAGAAGCCGGTAGAAAATAAAATGAACATGTTAGAATTTCTGAACAAAAACTATCCAACTGCTGACGATTTCCTATTATCTGATGTCAAGAAGAAGTATAAAGAAACTTTCGGCATTGTTAAAATTTTTGATGTACTAAAAGAAGAAATTGAAGCTACGAAATTGTTTAGGATTTCAAATATACATCGTACAATTCATGTAAAACGCTTGTCAAAAAAAGAGGTGAAAAATTAGGTGAAAAAAGAGGTGAAATCTCACCTCTTCACCTAAAATATATTTTTATTGAATTCAGCAACAAAATTCTGAGTAAAATAATTTTTAGGGCATGTGTCAAACCGTTGAGTTTTCACAAAATTTAAAAAATAACGTTTACCATGTGAAACGTTTATAAAATAACTGGGGTAGAAATGAGGTTAGATATCGGGTTAGATCTAACCATCTACCCTAAAATATATTTTTATTGAATTCAGCAACAAAAATAATGAATTTCATTAGTTAGAAAAATAAAGTTAGTTTTTTTCTAAGAAAAATTTTTATTTTGTATGTAAAGACAGTAATGTCAACATCAGAGAACACAACAACAGTTATAGTCCATGAAGCTATAAATGAAGAATACGAGTACATACAGTATAACAAACAGTTACGTCTCATTCGTTCGGTCAAAGACGATATGTACCAAATGCAAAGTATAATGAATGCTCTTCGTTCTACAAAGCAAGCATATCATTGGTTTGAAAACCAACAGACAAAAGAACTTTTAGAAGAATTTCCTCATATGATTGCTTCCCTCGGAAAACCGAGAGAAGAGATTCCGTACGAAAATCGCAAGAATTTGGCTCCTGGTTTGAAAGGTTATTATATTCATAGACTTTTAGTAAATGCTGTAGCAATGTGGGCTTCACCTCGTTATGCTTGTTATATTTTCATGATGTTAGATGAACTATATAAAGCAGAACGTGAAGAGATGGAAAACAAGCTTGAAGCAAAAGACAAAAGCATTCAGAAAAGAATACCACGTTCGGTACCAAAAGGAAAGGAAAAGAACTATAAGTATATGATTTATACTGAAGAGTTGGAGAAAGAAGAAGATAAAGATATGGTTATGTTGCATTTAGTCAGAAGAAACAACAAAAGCTTTTACGACCTTGCTAAGATTTACAAATCTGACAGAAATTGGTTCTATCGCGAAAACTTACCGATTTCAATGACCCCAAATGAAGATGTTAAACAGATAGTTCAAGATACGTTACCTCAAACACACTATGACATCAAAGGTTGCACAATACTTACATTCAAAGAAGGCTTAACATTACTGAAGGAAAAAATAACAGAGTATTTTGACAACTTCAAACAAGTAGGGTAGATGCACTCTTTATTTTTCAAGCTTGACCATTTACAATTTGAACTTTGTTTGCGTAGATATGAATTTTGAAAGAAGTATGAGGGTCTTGTATGACTTTGTACTTCTCCCATAGTTCATGTCTGTCAAACTTACCTGCCATGGACTCTTTCATAAGTTCCATGAAATCGTCTTCGGACAATCCGGGGAAAAGTATTATGTCAGTAAGTATTCTCTTTACATCCTTACTTAAACTCTTTACTGTCTGTACACAAATGACAACTGAGATGTTAAAGTGTCTGAGCTTCTTAAGAATTCGACACATATCTTGTTCTCTATTCTTTAACAAAGGATGAGAGGCGAAATCATCTAAGATAAGAAGACATCTATGAGGGTAAGTCTTCCAATCGTAAGATTGCAATTTCTTCGAAATGTATTCTATCTCTTTCTGTTTGTTTCTGAAGTGTTTCTTCTCTAATATTCTCTGCATTTCCTCATTAGGGTCTTTGAACTTAGAATTTATATACTCATTTATAGCATTATACTTCAAAACTCTTCTTTGGTACTTCTTTATCCAATCTAACAACTCAGTATCCTTTATACATACTAACTTAGACTTCTTTATAATATCTTTGAACGAATTGACGGTTTGGTCAAATTGACCCGAAGTACTACAAATGACTACTAACTCATAGAATGGGTTCTTCTCATCTAGTTCTTGTTGTTGTGCAGCCATTTTAAGATAAGTGAAAGTCTTACCCGACCCAGGTGGTGCAATTAGACCTGTTATACCATTCTGAGCAAATAAGAACTTGTCATGTATAGGTTTTATCTGAGCATTTTCTAACTTCCTCTTGTTCTTATTTAAAACATTCTCAAATTTCTTGTCAATGTCAGCAAACTTTTTTTTAACATATTTTTAGAAAAATTAAAATTTTTATCTTTTAGAAAATGTCTAGCGATTTCGCTATCTATATTCGAGACAAACTTTTTGACAGCAAAACATCTGTCGACCATAAAATCTTACATAGTGTAAACAAGAAAGGTGAATTTGTTCTAAAGTTCTGTTTCTGGGAATATGACAAGAACCATAAAACATTACAAAGAGCAGTCTTAAAATTTGTCAATGACAGACTTGTTGACAGAAATGACGCCGATTGGAAAGATGAAGTCCAACAAAAGTTCTTAGAATGCAAAGAAGACACATGCGCTGTTCTTGAAGATGAAATAGAAAACAGAATAGATGGGCTATTAAAGGACAAAGAACTTTTACATAAATATGGTTCTGAGAAATTTGACGTCTCACCACCAGAAAAGAAGAAGAAAGAAAAGAAAGAGAAAAAAGAAGAAGAGAAGAAAGAACCTGAAACAGTTCCAGAGAAAAAGAAATTTGACATGTAAAAATAAAATTTTATTTTTAGAACATTTCTGGGTCAATGTCAATGTTCTCTTCCTCTTTAGGAGTAAACACTGGCTTAGACTCTAATAGCTTTTTACCCAATTTACCTTGAACTTCTACAACTTTAGACTCATAATATTCATAGTCGTCTGTCTTCTTTGGTTCATAAGGTATAACAAGTTTGTATGCTTTGCCTTTTTTAAGGTTTGAGAACCTTCTGTCAAAACTTTCTTTGACTGTTAACAAACCTTCTATGTCTAAGTCTTCAAATTTCGCACCATTTTTAGTCACAATAGCAAACTTAACTGGTTCGATGTTCCAAACTTTGCTGAATGAAGACTTTTCAAAATGGTAGAAGTAAACATTCAAATATGTGAATGGGTCTAGTTCTTCTTTAAGTCCTGACATGTACTTGTTTACTGAAATATATTTCGTCATCTTTTCTATCGGATAAAAAAATATTTTTTTTAAAATTTACTCAGAAAAATTTTCTTTGTATATACACCATTCTGTACGTCTAAAAGACTTTTAACATTTGCCAAGAATGTTCGTTTAGACGCTGGCATATAACCATACTCTTGACAATATTGTTTATATTCATCATATAAAGACTTTTCATCTAAACACTCAAAGTCGCTTTCTTCTATGAACAGTTCATATACACTCTTGTTTGCTTCTAACAATGTTTGTCTCTCTTCGGTATGTGGAATTTGTCTTGGATTGAAGTTAGAAATATCTAATGTCATGAAATATGAGAACAAGTGGTTGTAAAAGTCAGATGTCAAAGTTTCTGACAAAGCGTCAAAATATTCTGTATCTTGCATATGAGCTTCTGACGTTCTGACAACTACATATCTTCTGTCAGAACTTTCTAACTTCATCGGAACAGCATTGTTTGAAACCATAATGAAGTTTGCAACATTTTCACAAACTCTTTGGTCTTTATACTTTCTTTCAACAACTCCAACTTTGTCTGTTATAAGACTCTTCAAAGCATCTGAGTTCAAAACTTTTGTTGTATCTATACTTTGAAGTTCATTGCAAACTATAAGTTTCATATTCTCTATTGAAGAGTTAAACTTGCCACAGATGTTTTCTAAGTTTGTCATATTCGGATTCGAATAACCTTCTAACAGTTTGCACAAAATATCTGTAAAGAAAGTATTCTTACCTGTTCCTTGTTTTCCAATTATAATGAGAGCAGTTTCATTTTTAGCACTTGGATGTTGTAAGATGTTTGCAAACCAACATAAGATATACTCATAAACCTTTTCGTTTCCATTGCATATAATTTTTGACATGGTCTAACCAAGCTTCTATAATATTTTCTTTCCATTCTACTTGTTCGTATTTATATCCAGTGAAGATAGAATAGAAGTTTGGAGAAGGTGTATAGAACTTTATACCTCGAACTGAAAAATCTTCTAACTTTGACAATAAGATATCCCAAGCATCTAACATCTTCATTCCAACTTGTACAACTTTTATTTTCTTAAGTTTCTGTCTACATTCTTGTTCAGACACTATTGTTGCTCTTGGTTTGTTAAAGACAACATCCCATTCTTTCATGACATAACATTCTGGGGCAGAGTCAACATAAATGACTAAACGTTTCAAATTCTCGACTGCTTTGTTATAGTCTCTAAATGGACATATATTTCTGAATGCTTGGAAGTCATAAAAATCTGAAACATCTATTCTGTACATTTTTATAAAAATAAAAAAAATATTATTTTTTTATTCTTGACTTTGTTGTTCCATTTGTTGCATTTGTTGTTCTTGAGCTATTTGTTGTTGAAGTTGTTCTTGTAATACAATACTTTCACCAGTTGCATCTTCCAATTCGAAACTTTCTGCCGTCATGACAAATACATAGGACATAAAAGTTTTACAGGAACAAAGTTTGCGTCAACTAATGTCAACGTTATACTTGCCAATGTGTTTGAGTTCACTAAGGTTGAAAATTCTGCATTCGAATGAACAATAGGCAAACCAGCAGAGAAAGTATTGTTTATACGCATAAGTATCTTTTGGTCATAATAGTTTCTGTCGACATTCGAATAACACTTTGAACCTAAGTTTGAAACAATATATAAGATTGGTGTGCTTAATGTCAATGGAATAGACATTCCTTGTATGACACCTTTTCCTGTTATAGGAAACTGTTGGTAGTAAAAACCAGAAATAAGTTTTGTATTATAGCTCATATCGTTTATAGTAAACTCAGTCGGACATCCAAACATAATGAAACCTGCTCTAGTTGCAGCACATGTTACACCCGTACTTAAAGTATTAAATAAGTCAACAAAACCTGTTGGTGGTATATCTGAGGAGATTGGGACAAAGTTGCAATTCGGCACTTTTTGTAAAAAAAATGGGGTCATACTCATAATGAATAGAGACTTATAGCCAAGTCTTGATATCATGCAGGGAGAATATACATAGATAAGCAATTATATTTTATAGTAGTAGTATTCAGAAATTCTTACAATTTACAATACAATTTTCAAAAATGGATAAAGACCAATAGCCAAGTCTTGATATCATGCAAGGAGAATATACATAGATAAGCAATTATATTTTATAGTAGTAGTATTCAGAAATTCTTACAATTTACAATACAATTTTCAAAAATGGATAAAGACCAATAGCCAAGTCTTGATATCATGCAGGGAGACTCTCTACAAATACAAAAATTGATTATCATAAGGAAATACAAATTTATCAATTTTCATGTGAAAATTACATAAATTTGTTCTCCAATAAATAGCAATAATACTTTGAATGTTATATTAAGTAATATAGCTTCAGGTAAATAAGCTTACACTTCAAAAATATACTGTTTATTCATTAATTTTAAAAAAAAGTCCAAATTATCTAATCTTGCTTACTCTTCCTTTAAACTTCTTTGTGCCAAATTTAATATTGCCTTCAAAGATGGAATAAGGACATTAGGTTCAATCCTTCGGCTTTCGACAATTTCCAAAATGTGTTGAATTAATTTCAAACATTCATCGTGTTTTGAAGCTCTTTGCTCAACAATCTGATTACCTGCCCTTGTAAGAATTCTTACTGCTCTTTCTTCATTCAAAACATTAGCGACTTGAACCTTAATAATCGCATTTGGAATCACAACAGTGATGAGAGTTATGACGATGTCATCAATGCGCTCATTTTTCTTACCCAAGAAAAATGTTTGCTTTAATTGATGAAAGTGTGATTCCGCAATGTTATTCGTGGAATCACCTTCTCCACGATATAACATCATCCAATGTTCTTTGGTTCTTCTCCATTGTTTATCGAAATACTTCAAAGCGCGCGGTTCTTCTTCTTCTAACATTGTTGTCAAGAACTCATATGTTTCATCAGACTCTTCAGCCAGCTTTTCTGCATTCGTTGCATCTGCACGTAATGTCAAAAAGTCCATTGCTAAATAGAAGTTCTCAAAATTCTGTGGATTGTCAAAATAGCTTCCAACTTTTGCACATGCGCGTAAAACATGCACAGCGCACCAACTGAGCTGCGCAAGAGGAAATCCGTCCTCAATTGCGCGAGCAATGTTTAGCGCACAGTCAGCGCTCCAATGCTGTGGATCCAGGTGCGCAAACTCACAGAATTTCACCAAACATTCTTGAATTTTTTCAGATGTCTGAGGGTTCACTAAAAAATAGCAAAAGGGGAAAATTGTGTTTTGACTTGTTTTCATTGTTACTGCAAACAATTGGATCTTTCCTTTAATTAAAGAATGAGTGGAATCGACGTGGAGAGGGTTATCAATGCTATGCACCAATTCTTTTGCAGCAAAAGGTGCATATATGATTGTAAACTCGGAAAAATCTCCATTGTAATCAAATTGAACGAGATCATCTGGGCACTCTTCCTGTAAATTATTCAAAAATGCTTCCAAAGAAGTGTAAGGATCGTTTGATAATCTTTGTGCAATAATCTCATCAAGGCGATAAAATTTGTGCTTTAAAGCATCAGTAGACTGCGCGAAAAGTTTCATCGTTTCTTTGTTATTCGTATCAATTCCGAACTTATCAAAAAATGCTTTTTGAGCAAGAAATTGCTTTCCACCGTTTTTAATATAAAGTTCGATCCATTTTTGATAAAATTTACTCGCGTAATGTGAACCCATTTCAACTCCTATATGATGGCAATGTTCTTCATTAACTTTGCTTATAGTAAACACTCCATTTTGTTCTTCAACCCTAAATTTTGCCTTGCATAGGGGATACGAACATGAATAAGTGACATATTGCTTTGGAGATCCCGTTCTTCTTCTGTATGGGACACTGCCCTTGACTTCCTGTTTAATACCAAAAGCAATAAGCTCCTCTAAGTCCACCGAAATCATAAAAATGAAGTGATTTTGAAAAGAGTTAACAAAATTCAAATCACATCAAAAACAAAAACACATAAAAAATATTTTATTATACTCATTCGAAATTAAAAATAATAAAATTTATATATATTAATTTCATTAAATCAAGGTTAAAAATCTCACCGGAAAAATAACCACGGTGTGATAAATTTATCACCGGAAAAATTTACAATAAGGTTAATACCGAAAATATTGAAAAATCAACATTTAAGGTTAATTTAAGAGTATGCACTTTTGTCACCTACTCAACAGGCTTTAGTCGTCATTGTGTTTAAGGTTAGTTTACAATATCGTCCTTGAGGACTTTGTAAGTTTGTTGTTATAGAATTATATGACTCAGGGTTTTTAGTCGTAATAGTATAAACCATTATGTCTTCTGCCATTTACTTAGCAAATAAATTTTAATGAAATGTTGTGGTCGTCAAATATTTTTATAACGTCTGGGAAACTATATTTTAAGTTCAACGTTTCACCTCCTTTCATAACGTATATCTTGTCAATGACATTATATGAAACACCACAGCAACCAATGTCGGGTTCTATTTCTTTGATGTTTATATCGTCTGCCTCTGTCAAAAGTTTCAATAGTTCTTTCAAAACTTCATGAGGTGCAATGACATATGAGTTCACTTTTACAGGGTTGTGTTCGACCAAGTTTAACATTATACTTAAAGCTTGACAAATCTTCTCCTGAGTTTGAAGTTTGTCTTTCAGTTGTTGGTAGTCGTTTCGAATATCTGCAACAGAACTTAAGTCTCTGTTAACTTCAGGATATGTTGGTTCTTTTACAGGAACAATTGTTATACCATCTTCGTCTTCGTATGGTTTCCCCACTTCAACATCTCTGTCTTTGACATTGACAACAACACTTTGACTGTTTGTTTGAGTTGGTGAATTTAACTTCACATCTGCCACCGCCATTAAACCTTTTGAAACACTTACGCTTCTATTTTTCGGAAATGACATTTTACTTAGAATAAAAAGATGGACGTATTCGGATATCTTATTGAATTGAAGCAGAACAAAGTTTATACTCACAAACAATACAAATACATTGACAGAATAGTTCTTTACACAAACAATGGAAAATGTTATAGAATAGCAGTCTTTGCTGAACCTAAATATTTTCATAAAGCAAAGAAAGTTGGTATAACTGAAATGGTGAAAGTTCTTGAAGCAGACAAAAATATAACTTCAAAACTTACAGATATTACTAAAGGAAAGTTTATAATACAATATTATGTCAAAACTGGCGTACTGTCAATATTTGACGGAGAGAAGTCAGTTCAAGAACAACTTACTGACCTGCTGCCAAAATCTGCTCGATGGAAGCTGTCGTTATGCCAATCTGAGGAGCCCCAGCAGGTTTCATCGAACAAATCTTCAAAAGAGCATCTTCCGTGAAAAGTGCTATTGGTTTTGTAAACTTCTTTGCTCTCAATTCATCTGGACCGTCTCTGTCACCAGTATATTGTATTTGAACTGTACCAACAGTTGAAATACCACCCATAAAGTCTTCTGAGTCAGCAAATGGAATGCCAAGCCAAAAGTTTGAACGGTCCCCATTTGTATATTGAGTTTTTTGACCTCCTGTATGAGTCCATACTTTCACATATGGCATAATAGAATTTTGCATTTCAGGGTTAATGGTTGTTGTGAAGTTGTTGTTAAAGTTCATAGCATCTAATGTCACGTTGTATGACCTCATATCCTCAACTGTAGAAT